ATCGAACTCAAGTCCTTGTGCTTGCGCAGTAGCCAGCGAAACCACTGAGCTAAATCCCTGGCCCTTGATATGGTTTTTTAATAAAATGGAATACTACTCAGCCATAAAGAATGAGAAACTGGAGACATTTGTAGCTAAGTGGATGCACACTGAGGCCATACTCTTAAGTGAAATAAATAGGACACACATGTATAAATACTGAATAGTTTCTCTGGTGTGAGAAATTAAAATAAGAATCAAGATGTATAATTGATACTGTGAAATAGGAAGAAAATGTCTAAAGAAGTAGGGAAGTGGGAGGAGTAGGACAAAGGAAAGAAGGGAAAAGAAAAAATATGAGAAAAGGAAAAACATGGAAACAAAGTCTTTGTAAATAGGGAAGGGTGGAGGGGATGAAGGGAGGGCAGAGGAATGGGGGAAAAATAAGAACCAAGATATTCATGTAAAAGTACAAGAGCCCAATGATGAATGTAACTGTACTGTATGTCTAAAATATACCAATAAACTAAATGGGAAAAAAAGTGGATATTGCAAATGTTCCCAACAATACTTTAAATCAGGCCTACAGCCCATCATATAGTTACTGCTCTATACTATTCTTCTCACACGATAGTTGCCCCAAATAGGTTTTTTTTTTTTTTTCAAATTCCTTCTTTGGAAATGTCTTCAAAAGTCAGTATTTTTTAAAATCATATTTGAAAATTTCTCTTAACTCTGAAATCAACCTGGGGTGAACACAATGGAACACATCCCTTAACTTCTCCTCAATCTTGCACAGAATTTCATTCTGAATTCCCAGACAAGAAACGTGGAGAGTGTTTGTAGGCTGTGTTGGAATTTGGGGTTTTCTGCAGAACTGACCCTGAGGGAGGGTGACTACACCAAAGGAGCCAGACCACAGGGAGGCACTATAACTGCAATTTGCACAAGCTGCCAGCAGATGGCAGGCGTTCCTGGCACAGGAGGCTGATCAGCGCCTCCCCAGGTAGCTTCCAGAAAAGCATGGGATGACTGATGGGAAGAAGGATGGGACTAAGAAAAATAGAATGAAGCTGAGGGAATTTTAGGTCTATGAAGCGACTGTCACCTCGCTGACAACATGATTAGTCACTGAACGGTAATTTCATCCACACCAAAAATATTGCTCTGAATATAAACAGATAAATCAGCTTCCCAATCTTAGCCGAGTTTAAAAAGACACTTACTTTTTCACAATTTTGTTGCGTTTGGCTTGGGAGAAGGTTTCAAGTTGAAGGGACTCATGGGTGAGAAATGCCACTGCCAAATGGAAATAATTGTTCCAGAGCTGTTTAAGATGAATTGTGTGGGCAAAAAGAAATGGAAAATAACATTAATAAGAGTCATAACAAAACAGAGCCACATGGTAGAAAGGCACTAACCAGGGACTCATGAAAAGACAAAATAAAATCCGCAGGACTTTTTGTTCTTTCTTTGGTTTCAATTACTCAGTCCTTAAAAGTTTTGGGTCTCAACCTTAAGCTTTTATAAATTTCAAACTTTACATTTTTCTTTTCTCCTGGGATAAAGAAAAACTGCTGCCAAGAAGTGTACCTATTTATAGTAGGTGCTTTGGCAATATGTACTTTAAATACTCTAACCTTTTGCCAAACTTTTGAACTAGTAAATACTTCCAAGACTTTTCCCTTGATAATATAACTGAGGCTAGTTAAAAATATTTGAAACACGGAAAATCATCACAGTACTATTTAATATAACAGAAAATGGAAATTATCAAAATGTTCTTAAGAAGAATTTGGTTAAATAAATCATAGTCTAGCCATGTAAGAGACTGTATTCACCAATTAAAAATACTGTGGAAATATTTAGCACCACTGAAAAAAATCATAGACCATAGAAAAAGAAAGAAAGGAGAATAACAAGTTATCAAAGAATTACACAGCTCAATTCCACATGTGGAATAAGTACATATATAACACACATATACACCTCTCTCTAAATAAGCATGAATGTCAATACAGTATCCTCTATCTAGGACTGCCCAATTTAAAAGTTTTAAAGTTGCCAACAAAGGTACAAGACATAGAAAAGTACATCCTGAACAAAACACACTGTGGAATATTAGTCTACAAGAATAGGGAGCTGATGTGTTTTCACTAGGATGAGAACAGCACCTTGTACATAGAAATACTCTTTAATATCTGTTGGACGAAGGACAGAATGAAGAAGGAGCTAAGGGTAATCTGTTTTGCAGTTACATTGGACTTTCAAATGGTACGCACAGGAACTGCCCTTCAGTAAGTAGAGGAGATATCTATCCATACACGAGCCTATGTGTAGGCACACACGTTTATGAACTTTTATGCACGTATACACAGGATCAACACCAAAATGCTAACAGCCAAGGGTATTAATACAGCAGTCTCCCTGTCTTTGTGTTGTTTTTTTAGGTACCGGTGATCGAACTCAGGACCTGGTGCTTGCCAGGCAGGCGTGGTGCCACTGAGCTAAGTCCCCACCATCCCTTCTATGCTTTCGTTTTCTGAGGTTTCAGTTATCTGCAATCAACTATGGTCTGAAAATGCCAGTCTTCACGCTGATTCCTTCAAGAAAGGCAGACCATATGAATAAAAACTTTAATTGTACTATATTATGATTCTTCTATTATCAGGTTTTTAAAAATTTCTTATTGGGCCAGATTTATAAGTTATAACTTTAATCTGTGGTTTCAGGCATCCCCTGCTGGTCCTGGAACATGCGTGCTGCAGAGAAGGGAGACTGGTGTATCTGTATTTTGATTTTCTTACTTTTTCATTTTTATTTTTTGCAGTACTAAGAATCAAAGCCAGGGCCTTGGACATGCTAGACAAACATTCTCATGGTGAGCTACCCCTCAGTCCTTTTTATTTTATTTTGGAGACAGGGGCTCACTAAGTTGCCCAGGCTGGCCTTGAACTTGCAATCCTCCTGCCTCAGCCTCCCAAATAGCTGGGATTCCAGGTGGGCACCACTGAAACTGGCTCCAGTTTTTTTAATTTTTGCTTATTTTAGTTACATTTTCTGCTACAGGGTCACTTCTTAACACTTCTTTTTACATGCTATTTGAAAGAAAAAGAAAAAAACTTATTTTATTCTGTCTGGAAGATGATGTGACAGGAATGTAGGTACTGGAAATGAGGAAACACAGGAAGACCTTTTTATTTGACAGTGATGAGGTCGGAGGTGACTCTTTCCCAAATGGAGAACTGTTTTGCTCTCACCTAGGAACCCAGGGACCTCTGGGTGGCTCAGACCCTTACCTGCAGCTCAAAGCTTGCCTGGTCCATGAAGGATCTCGTGAGAACCTCAGCAAACTGATTGACTGCACGGAGAAACACCCTGGGGAGGAAAGCACTGGATAAAGAAGGCGACTGTGCCCTTGGAGAGAGGTCCCCAGCTGTGTTAAAAACGAAGCCAAAGGGCTGGGATTTAGCTCAGTGGTTCTGTCGCCTGCCTTACAAGCGCAAGGACCCGAGTTCGATCCCTGGTACAAAAAAAAAAGAAAAAAAAAAAAAACCACGAAGCCAAGCTGGGTGTGGCAGTCACATCTGGAATCTCAGCACTCTGAGAGGCTGAGGTAGGCAGCTCAAAAGTTCGAGCCCAGCCCGGGCAATGTGGTGACTTAGGGAGCTCCTGTCTAAAATAAAAAATAAAACAGGGCTGGGGATGCAGCTCAGTGTGAAGGCCCTGGGTTCAATCCTTGCTGTAGGTAAAAGCAGAAAACAAAAAGAGGAAGTGAGCAAGCAAACCCGTCTGGACTGGCCAGCAAAGAGCCTACGATCTGTATGGGCAGAGAGCAGTCCACAGAAGGCCCAGGCATTCAGTTCAGTTTCTCAACCGGCCAGAAGAGCCTCCAGGCTGCAGCCCCGCTGAGCTCTGCTGAGGATGGAGCCCAGGCTACAGGTCAGGCTGCTGGAGCCTCAGAGGGGGCGATTCGCTCTCTCCGAGTTCCAGAGTCTGGGGCTTCTGATGTAATTTCTTCTCTAATCAGCACATAGCTGAGAAGGGCTTTTCTAACTGGGTATCTCCGGCTGTGTAAAGTTAACGGTACTGTGTGTAATGATGATTTGCATTGTTCAGCTCATTAAGGAAGCTCTGTGGCTCCTTTTATATCCTATGCATGTTTCCTTTCACTCTGTTTGACAAGCAATTGTGGGCCGGTCTTGCCAAGCTGTGGTTCAGGTGCTGCACTGAGAGGCCCAGGGTGGCTTTCAGAAACTTATGTGGTACTGGGGGAACCGAGGACTTGTAAATTAACCGTGACCCAACAGAGAACATGAAAAGGATTTTATGAGACCCTCTCAAAGGTGCATGCAAAGCCAGCAGAGGAGCAGGCGAACAGAAAGGCTTCGCCTCAAGGGCACGGGAAGAAGGCTGCCGGCCAGAGACTGGGGAAGGTGGAGCAAGGGAGCAGAGGCGTGGGGTGGCCCAGACCCCAGCACTCTCAGGTACCAGGAGCTCATTTGCTGGGGACGCAGGTAACACTGCAGGAAATCCAGGGAGGTGAGGCTGAAGAAGAGGGAGGCCCTGAATATCAGGAGCTGCTGTGGGCCCCGAATAGGAGTGAGGAGGACACTAACCAGACAGGAGAGGGCAGACACCCCAGGAGGAGCAACCTCAAAGTGCAGAGGCTCACTGGAGTGGGGGGACCTTATTTTATAGATGATGGCTTTGCACCTCCCAAATGCACATGGCAGACTGCGGCTCTCAGAGGCTACACCTGTGGGCCGGGCCGCGCTGTCCTACCTGCTCTGTGTCATGTTCATGACCATCCAGTCTTTGGCATAGACGTTCTTTCCGATCAGATCCTTAAACATGATGAAAGTCTCCATGAGGAAGTCCTGCAGAGAAGAGAAGAGGGATGGCTGGGGAAAACGACTCCTTTTACAGCCTTCCTTCCAGTGTGTGGACAGAAGGGCTGTAACACGATCTGAGGCAGTCCCAGTCCTCAGTGATGGCCCTTTTCATAAGGTTTCTAGGGACAGGGAAGCATGGGCACGGCTAGCGATCGTAGCATTGGATGTTTACGCTGCATGATGCTATCAGGAAAATGAAGGCAAAACATTATCCACATTTTACAAGTGGTACAACTGAGGCTGATGGGAACTAAAGATGCACGGAAGGGCCACAGAAACCCGGTAGCAGGAGAACTGGGAGAGTGCTGGGGCTTTGGAAACCAAGTTTATAACCTTTCCTTCCTTCTAGTTCTCATCTGTCATGCTGTCCGAACACAGCTCCTGAATCTCTTAAAATGCTGGGGTTCTAGGCACGCACCACTGCACCTGCCTCTGAAAACCCTTTTATTAGGTAGCTGAACTTCCAACATTTCCCCCTGGGGTCCCTGGAATCCAGTCTGCTTTCTCCCGCACACTTCTGCCTTGCAAAGCTCCTCATGCACCAGTCAGCACGCGGCGCTGGAGAGGCAGGGGTCTATTTCCAGTGACCTTTTTTTGAGATTATGGTCAATTTGTTAACTTCCTGCACTTCGGATGCCCGAGGGCACTGGAATGGAAAATCTGTGCTGCCCCTGATTTATCCTTTTGGTTCAATAGTGAGCCGACTGATCCATCCTTAGCTCTGAAATCAGACATTTTTGCAAGCCTTTATGACTATTCCACTACACATTTTAAGTGCTTCCACCCATTAGTTAAGCACCCTTTACGCTCTTTTGTTCACAGGAACAAGAGCTCATGGTTTGTGAGGCAGGGATGAGATGCCAGTTCTGTCTGACACTGACCCTCCTTGGACTCCGTAACCTGAGCTGACGGCAGCCTGAAGCAGAGCACCCGGGACCTCCTGTTATCCACCACTGCCAACGCTATTAACTATAATTTTATCTTAGATTCTGATAATAATGAAATTATTATCAACAGCTACCTTTAATAGGCATTAGCTACGTGCCAAGCACAAAGCTAGGCATTTTCCAGGTACGGAATCTAATCAATTCTCATTAACCTTTGAGGTAGACACTGCATTACAGATGAGGATTTTCTACCAGGAAGTAGCGGGGTTAGAATCCAAACCTGTGTTCTCATTTGCCCCGCAGTCCAGCTGTGGAGGAGGAAATGTGGCTGCCCTTGGCCTCTGACCCTCTCTTCCCCCTCCCACCTGGCACCCGCAGACACATCCAGCTACGGCCCTGGTCCCCACCCTAGGCTGCCTGCACTTGGGCTCCCCACATGAGCCAACACAGCATCACCGTCTGTTACAACTGTCTGTCCATCTCCTTGGCATCACACAAAAAGGATGGGAGTAAGGAAGTGGCGATATATCCCTGGGTTCAATGGCACATGCTTTCAGTAAAATACGCACAGAAAGAAGAAAATCTAGTGCAGAAAGAAGATTAGGCTATGCATGTATGACAGAAGTCATTTGAGCAAGACCTAGTGGCACGTGGCTTTAGTTTGCTAATCCAGCCCCGTGTCCAGGCCACTGTTCTGCAAGGTCAGATGACTTTCATGGACAGATTAACTCTATTAACAATTCCCTGGAGCTGCAGGGAATAGTAATCATGAGAACAACTTTCCAGCTTAAACAAAAGGGGGCGGGGAGAGAACAGAATAGTTTCAATTGAAGACAGCTTATAACACTGGAAGGGACAGAGGATTCTCTTTTTGCGTCCCTCTCCAAAAGGATGCTATCACCCACATCTTAAGAAGACCGAACACTCCTGCCTTCTAAAATCCTCCCCATGGCACAGGCAACTAGTGCCTTCACAAGAGACATTAGCTCTTCTCAGAGCAAGAAAGATCCCCCAGATGTTTCTAAATAAGGACTTTCTCTAAATGTACGAGACAGGAGTGTGATGTGACCAGGCGCTGCATGTACTGCATTCTTCCTCAACCCCTACCAATCGGGGAAAGTAAGAATCAACTCTCCTTTTCATAACCACTGTGGATGTAGCCACATAGCACTGGAGGTGGGGAGGAAGAGAGATCTGGACTTGAATGCTCAGCTTCAGCTGCTTTTTTTTTTTCTTACCCATTATAAGAAGTGTTCAGCAATGATATATGTGCACCTATGTTTATAGCGGCACAGTTTGTAACAGCTAAAGTTTGGAAACAGCCCAAGTGCCCATCAACTGGAAAATGGATAAAGAAGATGTGGTTTTTTTAATAAAATGGAGTACTACTCAGCCATAAAGAAGGAGAAACTAGAGACATTTATAGCTAAGTGGATGCATACTGAGGCCATCCTCTTAAGTGAAATAAATAGGACACACATGTGTAAATACCGAATAGTTTCTCTGGCATGAGAAACTGAAAGTGTAAATAAGGATTGAAATGATTAAAATGAATAATTGATAATTTGAAATAGGAAAAGGTCCAAAGGTGTAGGGGAGGCAGGAGGGGAAGGGGAAAGGGAAGAAGGGAAAGGAAAAATTATGAGAAAGAAAAAAAAAATGGAATCAAAGTCTATGTAAATAGGGAAGGGTGGAGGGGGTGAAGGGTGCACAGGTAATGAGGAAAAAATAAGAACTAAGATACATCATGTTCAGGTACAAGCACCCAATGATAAATGTAAATGTATTGTATACCTAAAATGTACCAATTAATATATTAAAAAAAAAAAAAAAAAAGAAGGCTATCGGGACCCAGTGGAGGCAACTCACCATGACATCCTGCCTAGTTTTGAAAGTGCTGATGTAGTGGCTGTAGTGGCTGTCATCCATCTGCCGCAGGACAGTGATCATGCAGGCCACAAAGCTGCCCTGGAAGGAAGACGGAAACAGATCCAAGACTCCTCAGACCACCGACAGAGAAGATCAAGACTTGGACGCCATGTACTCTTGTTTTTCCCACCCAGGGAGCTCTACAGGAGCCCTCTGACTCCATGCGAGTCAGGGAATCTGTGGGCTTAGCTGTACCTCATTAGCAGCCGTGATTTGTGGAATCCTGCAGGTCAAGGGAAATTAACTGGAAGATCTCTAGTAGATCACCACTGAAGATAACGCAGGGCTCTGAGTTTCATAATGAGGCAGAGTTGTGGTACAGAAGTTTATGAAGAAACATCTGAAGTACTTACATCAGTTACAAATCTGAATGTAGAGGAAAGCTAGTGTGAAAACAAGATGTCCAGGTGGAACAGCCCTAATTTGAAAACCTGGAATCTGAAATCTTCCAAGTTAACTTTGAGTTTTGCACCATTAGGACTTGGATTTTTAGATTAGTGATGCTCAACTAGTAAAGTCTGAAGAGTCCCCAGTCCAGAAAACTCCAAACTCTGAAGCATGGTGGTCCCTACCATTTTCAGGAAGGGTTACTCAAGCTGCAGCAATGCTGAGAACAGAAGGGTGGAGAGGGGGAGGGGTGACACCAACTCCCTGCGCACACTTGAACGCCATTTCGCCAACTCTACGACCCTTAGGCCAGTGTCCCCAGCACGTGACCTGCATGGAATTGTGCCCTGGGCTCGACGAAAGCAAACAAGTAACTTGACGATTACCGTGGTTTGTATGGGGAAGGTTACGACAGATCAGTTCCAGCAAACTGAAGTCATAGACTAGTATGTAGCCAGGGGGTGTCTAGAATCCCACCATCTTGCGTTCAGGCGGGAATGAAAACGTCACACATTTAAATAAATCTGACACAGGAGAGGAAAGTTCAGCCACTGTGGGGAGACAGGGATTGTGTTCCTGAACGCAAGAACGATGAAAGATTGCACGTGTGCTCCCCTTTCTGAACAAACATCTGCCTTGCACTTTTTGCTGAAAAAAAATTGTTCCCTATTGTAAGGCAATGTAAGTTACTGTGCTAAAGCTTTGGATATGTACTGCGAATTATCATACAGTTTGTGTTCATACCATTGCCTAACATTGTATGTTTCTCCAGGCTTTTGCCTTCTCTGGGTATTGAATTTAATCTCACTTTTATATTTCTGACTTTTCTTTGCTATTTATTTTTTTCATTTGGCTTTTCACTCATATTCCTTACTTATTTTTCTATAAAGTAAGTGTTTTGTATATAAAGTGTTTTGTATATAAAGTGCCTGTCTCTAGGTGTCTTTGTGTATTTTTGTTTTGTTACGAGACAGTCTCACTGTAGCTCAGGGTGGCCTTGAACTCTTGATCTACCTGCCTCAGCCTCGAGGGCTAGGATTACAGGTGTGCACCACCACTTCAAGCAGTGCCTCTATATATTAAGACTTAGCCACCTGCCATCTATTTATGTATAAGTGTCTTCTGCTTAATGCAACTTGTGGCTATTGGTCACTTGCCCCATATTATAATTTTTACAGTTTAGTGCTTGACATTTAATTTGCATATGTATTTTGTATCTAGCAAAATCTAACTTTGTTTTCTTTTTCAATTCTCTGAAATGCAAGAATCCTTTTTCTTTTTTCTTTTTCTGTGGTATTGGGGATTGTATCCAATGAACTATACCCCTAGACTTCTTAGAATTTTAAGATGGGTCTTACTAAGTTACTAAGCTGCCCAAGCTGGGCTTAAACATGTAATCCTCTTGCCTCAGTCTCCCAGAATGCTGGGATCTCAGGCATGAACCACAATGCCTGGCTAAGAATCCCTTTTCTTCAGGTACATTTTCATTATAATTTTTTTTTTAATGGAAGTTCACTTCCTTTTATTTATTTATTTGGTACCAAGGATCGAACTCAGGTCCTTCCGCTTGCGAGGCAGGCAGCAGAACCACTGAGCTAAATCCCCCAGCCCTCATTACAATTTCTTCCAGCTGCTTTTTTATTTAATTTTTTACACTGAATCTTTCATTCCATTTGACATTTATTTTGAAGGGATAACATAAGCCAAACAAAAGTTTTCCAAAATTTACTAAAGGTAAAGAAATGTTCATTCAAGTCTACTTCTTACTTCCCTTGGTTCTATTCTGTTGATACAGGGACTGCATTGTATGTATCTAATACTGTTTAATTAGTATTTTCCAATCTGACACGTAAGCCCTTCATTATTCTTTCCATTTGGCAATTCACTTATCTGAATCTTGGTTTTTGGCTTTTGGACTGCCGGGTATTGAACCCACAGCTCACACACACTAGGCAAGCACTCTACCAACTGAGCTACATCCCCCATTCTAAGTCTTATTTATTTTTATTCTCAAATTTTTTGGGCTCAGTTGAATGGAATTTTTCTTTACAATGTCTAAATAGATACCAGTGTTATACAGAAAGGGCCCTGCATATGCCCTATTGTAAAATCAGCTAGTTTAAGAAATGGTTCATTAGTTTTATGAAAATTTCAGTTAACTCTCAAGTTTCCTCAAAACGTTGGCCATTTCAGCTACAAAGAATGATAATTATGATCATGATGTTTCCTTTAACAACAGTTATCTTTAGCATCTGTTTATTAAATTGGTTAGATATGATGAGATGTTAAACAAGGGTGTGAGACTGAACATCCCGATTCTCCTTTCTATTAGGGGTCCTTGTGATTTCATGTTAAAACATTTCCACCTCTTATTAACTTGGAATAGATGTTACACTAATCATACACCATTTTGGTGTCCACGGAGAGAATCATGAGGCTTTTTTGCTTTTAGTAAATTAAGATATTTTGTTACTGTACTCTCTAATACTTAACCATTCTTGAATAACCAGGATAAATGATATTCAGCTATTTATATTCTTTTTGGATATTTGTCTTTTTTACTGTGCCCGTGTCTCTTTGTATGTCTTTTCCTCATTCTTTTCTTGACTCGGTGTCCTCCTGCCTCAGCCTCTCAGTGCTAAGATGACAAGTGTGCACTGCCACGCACAACTTACTCATCTTTTTTTCCCTGACCATAAAGGGGCTCGTGGTTCTACTTAGGGAAACGATACAATACAGACTAGAAAACCCACATCAGAACTGAGATCTGCCCGAGAACAGAACCAGCTCCGTGTGGAGTCAGTCGCGAGCCTCTGGTCCCCCAGTGGCAAATGGGACACGAAGTGGCAGTGGCTGCCGGGTACCCTGGAGAGACACTCACGATGTGGGGGCACTGCCGGCTCATCCCGATCACCGTGCGGTTGATCCTCCTCAGCAGCCGCTCCATGATCAGCTGGACGTGCACAGCTGTGGGCCCCTGCGGGAGAAACACAGGACGTGACATCGCTTCCCCTGACTCGGCTTCCCAGGGGCGCCTTGGACAGCGGAGTTCTCTCTGCAGATCCCATTCCCCATTTCCCTATGAAACAACCTCTTCTCCAAAGGGGAAAATGGTACCGTGGACTGATATGTAACTACAATGGAAATCAATTCAGAACAATCACTTAGTCATTTAAAGGCGAGCGTGGGTGGAGAGGAAAGAAATGGGCGCCCCCTAGGAAGCCAGAGAGCTCAGGTTTGCAGTGAGCTCTCTGTAGCCACACAGTTTGGGGGAGGCCCAGGCAGGAGGCACTCGGTCATGATGCCGAGCAGATGCGAGCTGCCAGGCAACAGGCGCATGTGCGGGAGGAGAAAGCAAAAAAGTTTGTAGGGGAAAGATAAAAAAGAAGTCCAAGCCAAGAGGTTTTGTTATGAAGTGAATATCTTTGCTCCTCTCAAATACTTATCTTGAAGCCCTAAGGCCCAATGGAATTAGATGGAGCCTTCCTGAGGCAGTTAAGGTTAGATGAGGTCAGAAGGGTGGGGCCCTGGTCTGATGGCATTAGTGCCCTTTCTAGAAGGGACACCAAACTTGTGGTGTCTCCTTTGGGGCAGTGTAGCCCTGTCATCCCAGCACCCTGAGAGGCTGAGCAAGGAGGTTTGCAAGTTTGAGCCTAGCCTGGGCAACTTAGCGAGATCCTGTCTCAAAAAGCAACAAAGGGCTGGGGATGTGGCTCAGCGTAAGGGCCCTGGTTCAGTGCCCAGCACCACACACACACACACACACACACACACACACACACGCACACGGGGGTGCAGGCTCAAACGCATTGCCATCTGCAGGGAGGAAGAAAGCCTGCATCAGAACTTAACCATGGCCGGATCCTGACCTCATGCTGCAGCCTCCTGAGTAGCAAGATTTAATTTGCGACTTTCAGCCATTATTCAGCTTTGGTGAGCTTTTGTTTTTAGAGCTGCAAAAAGAGGATAATTACTATTTTCTTGCAGGTATTAATTGGCCCAGTGGTCCAAACACTACCCAATAAATGTTCTTCCTTCTTTCCTTTTCTGTTGTTAGATGTTAAACTCATTCAACTCCAATTTATCCACATTCAATTTGAGTCTTTCAGAGCCTTGGTCCATTCTTGCTTCACAACAGATATTTCAAGATTCCTGCTTACAGTTTCCAATAACTAAATCACTGCTATATAGTTTTTGCTTAACATTGTATTTATTATTTTTAAAATATTTAACTGGCAAAATTATACATAATTCATGTGGATGTGATACATGGATATTATGTAATGATTACAACAAGCAAATTAACATGTTCGTCACACCTATGGTGTGCACTACATTTGCAGAACCTGTTCATCTTATAGCAGACTTTGTGTACTTTCACCAAGACTTCTGCCCCACCATAAGGGAACTATTATTTTAGTCTCTGCTTCTATGAGTTTTTTTTGTGTGTGTGACAAGGTCTCACTAAGTCACTAAGTTGCCCGGGCTGGGCTCAAACTTGCAACCCTCCTGCTTCAGCCTCCCAGAGCACTGGATTATAGCTGTGTACCATCACACTGAGCTGAATTTCTTAAGCTTTCACAGATAAGTGATATCACGCAGTATTTGTGTATTGTCATGTGTATTTTTATTATATTATTAATTAATTATCTTTATTATAAAGATTATTCTTTATTATAAGATCTTTATTATTCCTCTTATTTCCCCTTCGTCTCTTCCTCACCCCTCATCCTTGTTCCCTTGGACCACTTCTCTATTAGATGAGATCTGTTGCCTGGGTCATAAAGGACAACCCATCCTTTATGATTTTCTTTGGTTGTACTTTGCCTCACTCAAATGAGAGATACCATATGATATTTAAGCTTGTGTGTTTGACTTATTTCACTCAATATTTTATTTTCCAGGTGAATCCATTTTCCTATACATGCCTTAAAAATTGTTATTCTTTACAGCCAAGTAGTATTCCACTATATACAGATGCCACATTTTCTTCATCTAGTCCTCTGTTGATGGGTATAAAGGCTACTTCTGACATTTAGCTATTATGAATTGTGCTGCTATAAATACTAGTATACATGTATCACTGTAGTATAATGAATTAAGCTCTTTGGGGAAGATACCTAGTAGAGGAATAGCTGGGTCACATGGAATTTCTAATTTCAATTCTTGGAGAACTCTTCATACTGATTTCCATAATGATTGTACTAGTTTGCATTCCCATTGACAATGCAGGAGGGTTTTTTTTTTTTTTGCCACAGCCATGGCAGCATTTATTTTTTGATATCCTAATGATTGCCATTCTTTCCAGAGCAAGATGGAATCTTACTGTTGTTTTAATTTGCATTTCTCTAATGGCCAAAGATGGTGAACATTTTTTTCATATATTTATTAACCATTTTTATTTCTTCCTCTGTGACGTATCTGTTCATTTCTCTAGCCCATATCTTGACTCAGTCTTTAATTTTAGATTTTTTAATATTTTTGAGTTCTTTGTATAGTCTAGATGTTAGTCTTTTGTCTGAGGAGTAGCTGGCAAAATTTTTTTCCCATTCTGTAGGTTTTCTCTTCACTCTACTGATTAATTCTTTTCCTGTAAGAAGCTTTTTGGCCTGATATAATCCCATTTGTTGATTCTTTCTATTTCTCATCCAATTGAAATTTTGTTTAGAAAATCTTTTCCAATACCTATGTCTTTAAGTGTTTTACCTGTTTTATCTTCTAGTAGGTTTAATGTTTCAGCTTTAATGTTTAGATCTTCAATCCACTTTGACTTTAATTTAGTACATGGTGAGAGATAAGGTTCCAGTTTCATTCTTCTATAAACAAATTGCCAGTTTTCCCAACACCACTTGTGGAATAGGCTATCTTTCCTCCAACATATGCTTTTGGCCCCTTTGTCAAAGATCAAATAGTTAAATATGTCTGGGGAGGTTTCTCTATTCTCTATTCTGTTTCCATTGATCCATGTGTCTGTTTTTCTTTTTTCCTGTATCATGCCATTTTTATTAGTATTGCTGTGTAATGTAGCTTGAAGTCTGATATTGCTATGCCGCCTGCTTTGCTCTTATTGGTCAAAATTACTTTGGCTATTCTGGGTCTCTTCTGGTTGCATATGAATTTAGTATTGTTTTCTCTGGATATTTAAAGTATGCTATTGGGGTTTTGATTG